TTTCATTCGGTTTTTTTTTTTTTTTCTTCTGTTTGAATTGATCGTCGATACGGTGGTACGAGTAAAAATATTAAATTATCGTCGAAAATTATTATTCGGCAGAAAGGGAATATTGGAATTGTAGAGGGGAATTGATTGTAAATTTTAATTAAACGACGAACGAATTGTTCGAACGATCGATTCGATATAAGAATATTTCTAATCGAAGTTATTGAAAAATATTTTTACTGAAGGTATTGATTAATGCATTGAAAATGGAAAATTGTACGTGGAAAGTTGACAAGAAATTGTTGGATGAAAGATTTTTTTGAGTAACAAGAATATGAAAATTATTGAAAAATATAATAGAATTGTGGAAAATTAAAAATTAATAATAAAATAGTGAAAAATTATTGGATCGACGAAATTATTGAATTAAAAATTAGAAATAAAAAATAGGATTATAGAAAATTAATTATAAATTTTAAGATTTAATTATTTGAATGATCAGAATGATGTTCCTTTACGTTATAATTCAACAAATTTCTTAAATACATATGTATTAGATTTTTTATTTTATTTAAATTAACTTTATTTCAAGTCGTTTAAATTAAATAGAAATCAATTAAAGGAATGTTATTTATTTTAATAGTATATAGAAAGCGCATGAAGATTTGTATATCTATTAAATTAAATTTTGCCATTCATATAATATATCGTCATCATGTAATACATATCGAATTTTCAGCAAACAATAAAAATATTTAATATTCCACGTGATCCTGCATCGAATAATCCTCCAACTTCTATCAAATATCTAATCGCGACGATAATTTCGCCGATCGCGGATATTCGTGATCAAAATTATTATTCCGTAGGTAAAGCCAAATCCGCCATTACCGACCGTCTATCGGGCGAGACCGCAAGGTCCACCTGGATTACCGAGGCACCCTGTAAATAATGGTCCCATAGGACAGCCACGACCGGGCCACGGACAGCCTCAAATCCGTTTCGACAATCGATCCCCAACAGGGCCGAACAATCCCGGCCAGTTCGTACAGCTGAGACCGTACGGCCCTCCAAGGCCACCCGTAGCTCCTTATCCTCAGAAGCCGGCTCAAGGTCAACATCCGCCCAACATCGTACCGAGTCCACGTTTCCCACAAGCATCGCAATTGCAACGCAGTCCAGGCCCGCCAAGACCACCACCCCCCTATCCTGGAAATTATCGAGCGCAAAAATTCCAGGGCAGCCTGCAACGACCTCAACAACCGAGACCGGAATATCCCCAGCAACGAAACCAGGACTCGCAACTGGCCGTCGCGAGATCGCGGTGTGAAATCGTGCAGAGACAGTTGCAACGAAATGAGTCGTTGTTGAACGTAGGTTTCCAACAGAACTTGGAACAGGGGAGGGAAGAGAGGAAACAACAACAGGTGGCGCGCGTAATAATCGACAAAATGGCGGACGTGGACAACTCGAAGAAGTTGCAACAGTTCGAGACCGCTGTTTCGAAGGAGAAGGGCGAATTGAGGGAGAATGAAAACGACGACGACGATGACGTTGTGATGGATGGGAGGTCGCCTCGTGCTAACGGGGATGTTTCTGGCCGAGACGATTTCATCGAGCCCAAGTTGTTGAAGAACGATGTTCAAGCGGCGAAGAGGCCGGAAACTGCGACGATGAACGGGAAAATGACCTCGGACAAACCGGACGTGGTTGGTCTGAGCGAGAAACCTATTAAAGATTCGAACGTGACTGAAAGTGACAACAGATTGTCCGCGAAATTGGACGAAGAAACGCATAAAAGATCGGTGGATAAAGAGGACGTTGATAATCAGATGGATGAACCGGAAAGGAAGTTGTTGAAAGATCAAAACGAGAAGGAGAACTCGAATAAGGAAAATGACGCGAAACAGACGGCGCAGATCGATGTGAATTCTTCGTCTACTCCAATCGATAAGGATCGAATCGAAAAAGAGAATTCGATTAAGAAGAGTGACACGAAATTGACGACCCAGGTTGATGTGAATTCTTCGTCCGCAGTGGACATCAAAGATCAGATCGAGAAAGAGAATTTAAAAAAGGAAAGTGGCACGAAAATGACGATACAAGCTGATATGCATTCTTCGTCCCTTTCATTTATCAAAGATCAAATCGAGAAAGAGAATTCGAATAAGAAGGATGATGCGAAAACGACGACACAGATCGACGCGAATTCTTCGTCCATCCCATCTGTCGAAGAAAATTCAAATAAGGAAATTAAAGACGCGAAACAAGCTGATACGCGTTCCATTCCAACTGTCGTGGAAGACAAAGTTAGTGCACCTACCGAAAAATCTGCTGATGAAGAAAAGAAGTTGGAGCAGAGTTTAGACGCGACTTCGCCGTCTCCAGAAAAATCGCGCACACCGACGAAACCAGGCGAGGATGACAGTGAACAGATGCAAGCTTTAAGCTCCAAGTCAAGCCCTGACAAATCTCCAATGAAAGAGGAATTGAAGACGTCTCCCGATAAATCGAGTAATATACCTGTAGAAGTAAGTCAAAATGAGCGAGAAACGAAAAAACCGGAACAATCGAGAGAAGATGCACCGAATGAATCGACGAGAGTACAAAGCGGAGAAGAGTTGAAGACGCCACGAAGCGATTCGCGCGCAGCTACGCCAAAGAAGGAAGAAACGAAAGAAGATCGAAAGGAGATGGAGAAGGAGCGAGAGGGCGAGGAGAAAATCGATTCGAAACCAGAAATTAAATCGGAAGTGAAATCAGAAGATGCGTCGAAGGGACAAGATAAAGATGAAGAGGAATTGAAAGTATCTAAGGACGCGTCGATGGAAACGAGTCGGGGCAAGGAGGAACCAGAAACTAAAGAAGTGCCTAAATCTTCGGGGAAATCGTTGGATCCTGATCATTCTCCGAAGGAGAAAGAATCGAGCGATCCATCTGCGAATTTGATTGAAGAAAATGTCTTGAAAAATTCTCATCCTGATAAACTCGAAGAATCTTTGGAACAGAAAAGTGTTACTGCGAGTCGTCCTGCTTCTGGAAAGGAAGCAAGCGAGATGAAACCTCCAGTATTATCAGAGGATCGAGAGAGGGTTGCGGAATCAGCAGAATTGTCGCCTCCAATGTCCCCGGAGGAAGGTACGAAGGGTTTCGACAATGGGCAGCAGAGGTCGTTGTCGATAAAATCTTCGCCGAGTCAAAGTCTTCAGTCGCCTGTCTCTCCAAAATCACCGAAATCACCCAAGTCTCCGAAATCGCCCAAATCGCTTACCGACGATAAGAAAGTGACGGAAGAAAAGGTGAAAACTGAGGAGGAAAAGGATGAGGATAAAACGACACCTGAAACAAAAAGTTTGTCGAAATCGGCTACGCCTAAACGCGCGCCTACGTCTGGTAAACAGGATAAGAAATCGAGAAAGAAGTCTTCTACGACACCAGGTTTTTATCCCTTTGACACGTTTGCAACTAGATTGAAAATTAAAAATTGTTTGTTACATTACATACAATCGTAAAAGTCTTTGTATATTCGCCTAACCTCAAAATTCTAATTTTAATGAAAGTTTGCATGTTTATGAAGCATTATAGAGGATGTTGATATATATTTGTGGTGATATGTTTGAAGATCGATTCTAGAGACCAAAATAAACATGAAAGTTGGTATATAAAAATATTGGCTGACGCTTATTTTATTAAATTACGAGCAATTTAAGCGTTAGATAGAGCAAGATGTAAGATAGAACGAAACGGCGGTGTGATGGAGATAGATAATTCTAAGCTAATTTTCTATCTTCATCTGGATACTTAAATTGTACACTTTTGAACTTATTTTCACTTTTAAAAGATATTTTCACGAATATAATAGATGATAAGAATGATAGATGATAAAGAAAGGATCTTATACATAGAAAAATTCTTTTTAAATACGAAGAGTGTCTTTAAAGGGATGATTAAAGTTGCAGCATCTTTCATATATTTTGAATAGAATTTTGCCTTGAGATATTTTTTATAATAGGATAGAGTAAAATTTATTAAAATTTATTAAAATTTATTTAATTTATTAAAATTTATTTCCATATTTAAAATTTTGCTCTATCTTATATTATTACGAAGTTATATTTAATAAAAAAAACAACTTTTTTAAAAAAAAATTGATTTTATTCCTTCGAAATGATATTAATTGTTAAAAAAATATTGTTCCATATGCATATGTACAATCTATTATAATGCAACTTATAGTATAAAACTTTCATTAAAAATTGAATTTTCATTGCTTTGATAACGCAAGTGTTAATTGAATTGGCAAAAAATGTACAAAAGTTCTTCTTGTCAAAGAAGATTGTCAAAGATTCTTTTAGTTTCAAATTTTTAAAGGATCGATTACACAAATTTATATGTAATATATCTCGATGAAAAATAATTCTTTTTGTAAAAACCTTTGCTAAAAATATATAAAAAAAAATTGATATGTTCTCCATTAACAGTGCAATTTATTTTTTTTTTAAAAGATATTCGATGTTCTGAATCATTATTTCAATTACTTTTGACATTTTCACAAGTGCATACAAATAAAAATCAATTTTGAATTGATTTTTTATAAATTTATATTTTCGTGCAAATATCATAAAAAATATTGAAGCACATGCATATTGAACGTTAAAAATTCTAATAAATATGTTTGAAAAATGCAAAAAAACATAATATATTTCACTTTATATCAAAAAATGATTCAATTGTATCATCAAAAAATAAAAAAGATTGAATTCACTATTTATTAAGTAAAAATATATAAATTTTAAATCTGTATTAAACATCAATCATTTAAATTATTATTAGATATACCTACGAATTACATATAGGAATTTTTCTATAAAAAAAATTAATATTACAAAAATTGTATTCATTATTACAAAAGCATTAGAATATATTTTTAAATTTATATTACTAGGTGCAAACGTGTTAGATAGATTTCAAGAGAAAATAAAAATTAAAAATGAACGTATTAAAAAAATATAGCAACATTACGAGAAAATAAATTTGAAAAATCGAAAACTGAAGTTAAAGCTTGATTTTTTCATATAAAAATTTTTTAACTGAGATTTTGCTTCACAAATGTATTATACATGTCGCATTATATTGATGCTTGTTTTAATGCAACAAAAGAATTATGTTATATCCATTTTTGTTCTTGCAGAAGTAGAAAACGGCAGTGTAACAAACGAATCGGTTCAATCCAATGCGGTAAATATTTTTATTTTTATATACTTTTAATGTATATCTTAAAAAAAACAATAAGATAGATAATTTTGTAAGATAATTTTCAATAATTTTCATAGGAACCAACGACAAATGGAGTTGGGGATTCACCAACGAAAAAATCACCCTCTAAGACGAAGGAAGCCGATAAAAGATCGACAGCTGGATCACCTGTAAAATCGCCAAGTAAGTCCGTCAAATCGTTGCCAAGAACTCCAGATACTCCTTCGTCGACAACTGCTTTGGAGAAGAAAAGTAAGTAAAATCGAAACTTTTCTTGGAATTTTTTTTCAAATTTTTGTTTCATATGATTAGCTTTGTATTAAATATATTTTTATTTTAGATTTTACATGTGGAATTTAATCTGTTTATGTTTGAAAGAATTTTTGAAAAATTTGAGAGAATTAAAGTTAATAAAATTAAAATTAATAATCATATTTAATAAATTGTAATATTTACAAAAATATTAAAAATAATAGAAAATTGATTTTTCTCGAATTATCAAATTTTTTAAAATTCTAAATAGACTAAAAAATTATTGAACATATTATATATAATTTAGTTATAGTACTGAATTTCTTTCATGTGATAGAAAATGTTAAGATGAAATTCAAATTTACAAAACTTATTAAATTTAAATTGCAAATAATATATTCTATGTTATTATTTTGTCTTTACTTTAATATAATATTATTTTTTTCATATAATAAGAATTTTTAGAAATTACACACATATCTAATATTATTCAAAAAATTCTCGTATTTCAAAAGATTTCACATTAATTTTTTGGGTTTCATTTAAAAATATTGAATTCAAAAATAAAATTTTTTTTAAATACAAAATTTGTAATTTTTATTCTTAACATATATTAATTTTTGTTTAAAATAAATATCAAACAAATTAAAAATTTTGTTTCAGTTGTAAATTTCATTTCATTAGCATTTAAATGAAACTTATTTATGCAATTCTTATTCAAATATCAGGTAAGTGGAAAAATATAATAACAAATAATGTTTTATTTATAAATGATTACATTTCCAATTAATAATCCAATTAATAATAATTAATTACAATTACTTAAATAAATTATTTAAACAAGTTTTATTGTCATTTATTTTAGAGATGATATATTTTTATATACATATTTAAAATATCAAACTTATTATTAGTTTAATACTTGACAAAGTACAGAAATTATCATAAATATATTTAAATATTTTAAAGTAAAAATAAATATTTACAGAATTATATAAATTATATATAATTTTACTTTTCTACATAAATATTATTTAATTTTTTTATTATATATATTATATATATTCAAGAATATTCAAAGCAGATAAATTTAAATGTAAATCAAAATAATTATCTCATAATTATAAACAAATTATTATTTCTATAATATTCTTTGTCTATCATTCAAAAAATATTTAATACATTATCCATTATCTATCCATAAGATTTTTATAAAAATCTATCCATTACTTTTAATTATCACATTTATTAATTTGTTGCAATTATAATTTTTTCTTAATTTTTATACAGAATTGCCTATGAACAAAATTCAAGTAGGATCGGCGCCTTCTCCAAATCTGAAAACAGTACGATCGAAAATCGGCTCGTTAGAAAACGCAAGTTACAAACCAGGTGGTGGAAAGGTGAAAATAGAGAACAGAAAGCTCGACTTCAGTAAAGCGCAACCGAAAATCGCCGCAAAAAATGAGAAATATACACCCAGTGGTGGCGATAAAAAGGTTAATTTTTTTAATCTTTTCAATTCGTTTATTAATTTTTTCATCATCTTTTTTAAATATTTTTTTTAATGCAAGCAATAAAAATTAATTTCACTACTTTTTTAATATTTAATAAAATATCATAATTGATTTATTATTTAGAAAAATATTAGATGATTAAAAATTACCAAAGATAATTGGCTTTTCAATTTTAATAATATAGACTCTTTTTAAAAAACTTTATCATTAACATTTGACATTTCAATGAAAAAATTTCGAAAAATTTTTTTTAAATTTATTTTATAAAAATAAATAAAATATGAAAATTTTTTCAGTTTATTTAATGTTCAAAATTTAATATTCAAAATTATATTAGGTTATATTAAGTTTGATTTAGATTATGTTAAATCTACTTAGATTTTTATAAATTATATATATAAATATTATAATATTTAAAATTATATATATAATTTTTATAAATTATCTTTTTATAAACTTATTCTAGGAGAGAAATATGAATATTCAATGATTAAATTAAGCATTTAAAATCACTTAAATCAAAAAGTATTTTTTTTTTTTTATAAAAATAAATTTTATAAAATTAATTTAATATTAAAGCTCTTCCGATTAATTTTTGTTTTTAATGATTTTAAATGATTTTAAAAAAGTTTCAAGAAAAAATTGGAACAATATTATCAATATTTGAAGAAATTATCAAACTAAACAATTATTAAATATTATAAACAATATAATATTAAAAAATAAATATAATGTAACATAATTGAATTTTTTAGTAAGATTATTTTATAGTACAATATATATAATGAATAATAAATTATTTTATTTTTTTTAAATTTAATTAAATTTAACTGATTTACAATTCTTAAAATAAAAATTTTATTCATTGATTCGAATAAAATACAATAAAATAATTTAATAAATTAATAATTAATAATTAAATAAATAACATTATACGGAAATTATCTTTTGAAAATTACTTACAGATCGCCCAAATTAAACTTCAATGGAATGCAAAACCAAAAGTCGGATCATTGGAAAATGCAACGTACAAACCTGGTGGTGGCGACAAAAAAATAGAAACAGTGAAACTTGATTTCAAGGATAAAGCAAAACCGAAAGTAGGCTCAAAAGAAAATGCCAAACACATTCCTGGCGGTGGTAGCATTAAAGTAAGAATTATATTTTTATAATAGAGATAAGAAATATACTTTTTTAATTGGGAATGCCGAATACTTTTAGAAATATAGAAAAATTCAGTGAATCTTTTTATTTGCGTTTGAAAAATAATTCGATTAATGTTTTTTTATCTTATTAGTTATTTATTTAATTTATAATAACGAAAATTATCTTATTCTAAATTATTTTACGAATTTATTTCTAATCATTATATATTTTAATTGAAAAATATAAATTTAGAGCACTTAAGATAAGCACTGAAAATATCTTTTTTTAAAAATTCAAAGTAATAGAACCAATTAAATCAAATCAAATTGATAAGATTTCAAATTTTTTGTTTTTTGCAATTAAAAAAAATATCTATGTATTTTTCACAGAATTGAATAATATGAATAATATTGAATATATTAGTTTTTATTCAGATAGAAATAAGTATATATATTTTCAATTATTTTCATAACAATACCTTAATTTTTGTGTATAAAACATAATGGATAATATTTAAATTCATATTATAATTAGTAATTCTAATATTACTTGAACAAATAAGAAAACTCAAAATTAAGACTACAATTAAAAATAATTTTTTTCATAAATATCATAAGTATCCTCCATATTACATAATAATATTACATAATAATTAATAATTTTTATTAATTAATTTTCATAAATTTGTTAAAGAAAATTGTTTTAATCATGTGTTTATGTTTTTTTTCATCTTCATAATTAAACATTAACAGAAACTACAATGAAAACGAATGTATTAGTAAATTTAAATGTGCTTTTTCAAATTTTCGAACCATTATCATCATATGGTTCATATTTTTATCATTATATTGTCGCTTGACGTTATCCGTTTGTAATGTTTGTCATTATTGTAGTAATGAATCATTTTTCTAATTAAATGCTTGCTTTCTATTCCAACATTTTTATCTATTTATAATAAAATTAGTAACATATCGCTTATTTCGTATATGCTAGGAGAATAACATTTTTCAACCAAATGAAAAATTATTTATTTTTATTTTTATTGAATCGTTGCATGTAGAATGATAATGTAGATTTCTATTTAAATTATTTTATTATTTAATTTTATTATTTATTTTAAAAATTAGTGTTTTCAAAATTTGCAAAAAGAATAAGAATTCTGGTATCAAGAAAAAAGAATTATATATATATATATATGAATGTATATAAATTATAAGAGTAATCAATTAAAAATCAAATATTAAAAATTAATTGCAGAAAGAAAAAGTCTCATTAAACAAAAATTTATTTCAAAGAAAAAACTTTACTATAAAAACTATCACAGAATTTCATTTATAATTTTCAAGAGTTTATAATAACAAATTTTATTTACAAAAAGTTTTATTTTTAAAGGATAATTTTAAAGGATTTAGCATAAAAAGAATCACAATTTAATTTACAATAAATAAATAAATAAAATTTTTAATAATTTAATAATAATAATTAATCTCACTAAATAAAAATTATTATTGAAAAAAAATAATTTTTTTTTAAAGAAACTTTAATTTTTTTTAAAGAAACTTTACTAAAGAATTAGAATATTGATTTTATCCATAGAATTTTTTTACTTATATGATTTTTATCAAACAAAATCATTACTATTAAAGAAAAATTCAATTTCCTCAAAAAAAAAAAAAATTCTACAATAGAAAGACAATGAAATAAAAGTTAAATTTATTAATTAGTTTATCTAAAATAATTATTATCAAATCTCACATTGATTCGTTTATCTTGATGCTAAGAAATCTTGAATATAATAATAAAATATCTTTTATAAATATGGATTTTTTGGATTCGTTGACCAGCAAAAAAATACACCACCCTCCGCCTCTAGCATACGATTGCTCTTCGTTGTCGCATGTATTTTCACCCATCATTATTAACAAGTCATTATTGTTTGTTGGTATTCAGTCATCGGCAACACCACCTAAGACGCCACAGGATACGAACAACGACGTGAGTATATTTCTAATAATTTCACCACATCACATCTTAGTTGTCATTATCCTATTTTCATTTAATTAGCCATCAACACATTGCATCGACATTAAAGTGAAACCTACCCAATCTGGAAAATTATAAAGGGAGTAATCAATCGATTTTAAACAAATAACATCGTGTTCATTTCTGAGTATCTAATATTTGTCGCTTTTACGTATTACTGAAAATAAAGCAAGTTTGTCATACTTGAACGTTAGGGTGGAACGAAATTTAAAGACAAAGTTCTTTTTTGCTTTTTATGATTTTTAATATTGAATAAAAATTTATATAGTAAATGTTTTAACGTTAAAATTTGAATTTGAAAAATAAATTTTTTATATAGAGATATCGTCAAAACACTTATATATTTCTTATAGTAATTTACAATAACTTCTGTTTTTTTCAATAAATGTTTTTTATTACAAAAATAATTTTGAATGTAAAAATTCGAATTAGATTTGGAATAAATTAAATAAAATTATCATTTTCTCATTTATATATAAATATTCTCAATTTTCTCATTTATATTAGAAACATCACATTACATATTCATTTTAAAATAATAAATAAATTTACAATTTAAAACTAAAGAAAAAATATTATAATCAATGTATTATAATAATAATAAAAATAATAAAATCAAAAAAATATATTTAAGAAAAAACTAAAAATTTAAATTTGAAATTCCTTTTTTTGTCATCTCAAAAATTAATTTTATAAAAATTATCTTTTACACATTAAATATACAAAATTAGATACAAATTTTTTCTTATCAAGAAATAATCATGCATTATTTATTTTTTCATTCCACCCTATTAAACGTATTCTTTCTTTTAGCAGTAAGTAAATTCAGTTTGAAGAAAGATTAAAGCATGTTTTTGCATGTTTTAAGATTAGTATAAATGTTCGTTGCAAAAGTCAAATCAAATAGTTTAGAAAGCACGTTGCGAAAAATTTTTAAATTTGAACCTAAATTTTTATCTATGGATAAAAAATCCGTATAAATTTCTAAAAAAATCAATATTTGTTTTTCAATCTAAATTTTTTAGAAATTAATATTTATATGAATATTTCGACAAATTTTTTAATAAAAAAAACATTTTAATTTATAAATTTTCTAAAAATAAATATTTCAGTGTGTGAAATAAATTCTCTGGGAATTAATATCTTCATAATTTTAAAAAAAAAAATAATATTTCTAAATATTTTATACGTGCATTTAACTAATCACAGCTTATCGACAAATTATTATCATCACCTAATCATCTATTCACGATTTCTCAGCAAAAATAAAATAATAATAAATGTTCCAATGTTCTTTCAGATTCAGACACAAAAAATTGACATCAAAGCTGAGAGTAAAATTGGCTCCTTAGACAACGTGAAGCATAAGCCAGGAGGTGGCGATAAGAAAATCTTCAACGATAAAGAATATCTTCGACAAACTGGTACCAATCCTGAAAGCCTTTGTGGCAGTGGATCACAGGTACGTTTCAATTTTTTTAAATCTCGAGAATCGTACAAATATTTAATTGTTATTCATGTTTTTAAATAAAATACAATAGTTTTTTTTTATTTTTTATCAAAATAATTAATGTTGTCAAAAAGATTCGATTAAATTTTCGAAAAATTGTCTCGATATAATATTTATTTCGGAATTTTGAATTTTTCTTTCTCGAGATTCTTCGTCGTATCACGTTTGTTTGCACCATTTATCACGAAAAAAAAGGCTTGACAACACGCGTCGCATGCTTCTCTGCAATTTTTTTTATTCAACTTTTGTAATTTTACACTTTATGACAAGAATTATTATCGAAATAATATTCTAGCCTTTGCTTCGAATTTCAATATTTTTATAACGGTGAATGATTAAATTTAAATTATTTTTATATATTTTTGTTTTATAAAATGATTTCATAATACAATAATGTGAAGTATATTTTTTTTATATCTAATTTGAAATTAAAGATAAAAATCAATTCCAAAAAAAAATTATTTTTAGATTAGTAGAATTATTTTTTAAAAGATAAATTATTTTTTGTAATAATAAGATATGGATAATCAAAAATTTTTAATATATAAAAATTAGAATAAATAATTATAATGGTTATCTAACCCTTTGAAGCATTTTTGATTGGTTCTATACTATTTTTGCTTCTTTTTGTAAGAAGTATATATTTTATGTTGTCAATATTGTTTAAGGGAACGAATAAAGAATAATTTAAAAGTAACAGCATTGTTTTATTTATTTATATATATTTAAATGTAAAATTATATCAATTTTAAATTTCTTTTGTTTGAAAACAAATAAAAATAGAAATCTAATAAATATATCATTAAATAAATATAAATAGATCTGTTATTAAAAATATAGTTAATTAGTCAACTTATCACATAGCTTTTACTAGAACACCTCTTTTTAATTATTTAAATATATGTTTTAAAAATTAAATTTTTTATAATTTTTCATCAAATAAATTAATAATCAGGTTGCATGCAATTTATAAAATTTATTTGCAAAACTTTTAAAAATTTACTAATAATATCATATTCTATTTTAATATCAATTTTTATAAAAATGTATATTTGCAAAAAATCTTCAATTTAATGATTGATTATTATTTTTCTTAATCCAAATAATATTTTCAAAACTTTTTAAGAATTTTTTAAATATTTTATCTTATTAAGTTTTAAAAAAGAGTTTTCCTATAGTAAACTTTTCAAATTATATATTAATATCTAATGTATTATGTATTACGTATTAATATGTATAAAGACTCAAAAATTGTTTATTTCTTTTTATCATATTTTATATTTTATTTTTATAATAAAATTTTTTTATGAAAATACTAAAATATTAGGAAACTTAACACATTTAGATTTAATTAAATATGTTATTAAATATGTTATATCAAATATGTTATATAAAATATAATATATATAACATATATAAAATAGATTTCGTGATGTACAAATATTTATGATTATTGTATTTATTAAGAAATAAAAATTATTGAAAAATTATTATTGAAAAAAAAAAAGAAAAAAAAAAATATAAGAGTAATTAGAGATCATGAAAATATATCAAAACTATTATACATATTATATCAAAAATATGTTGAAATCGAAATTCATATTTTCATTTGAATATTTTACATAAAATATCTTTAAAATATTAATAAAATCGAAACATTGAAATCCTTCGAAACTTTAGAAGAATGCTTAAATTTCAAAACCTTTTAATATTTTTGTATTCGAAATTCTTGAACTTAAGTAAATAATAATTAATATAGATAATTGAATTTATTAAACTTTAATTGATATAATTTCATTTAAAAATAACTTTCAATTTTGTAATTAATTAGTTAAATAATGATAATTATCAGTATAATTTTTTTTATAATCCTTGTAATAAACATATAATAAAAATTATACAATTACTATAAAAATAATCATTATTTTATAAATTATTTATTTATTAAGAATTAAGTTTAAAGATTTTCAGAAATGAAAATTTGTCGAAATATTAATTCTTGAGAAAATTTCCTTACTTAAAATATTCCTTAATTTTTAAATTTCTTTCCTTAAAATAAAAAGAAAGAAAAAAATACTCGACATTTCATAAAGTGTTTTGAATTCGAATTTCAATCCATCTCGCTTTAAAATAATCGAATTATCTTTAAATACACTGGGTCAGAAAAACGATTACTCGACACTCTTAATACAATATTGACCCACTTCAATACGCAGAATCCATAAATAACCCACAAGTCATCATGGAGCGAAGCATATTACGTTCGCAGAAATATCAAAAAATAGAACTCAAATAAAATGCTTCAAAGGTTTAACGTGACCCGAATTAAGAATGAGTTAGTGATCTAGCAAGATTCCAAACATGAAGGTTAATGGGGCCACCTTAATCCTGTGTGTTGTGCCCGCAGAGCCCTGTGCCCCCTGGCACGGTCGCCGCCGGCAAGAACGGTCTGCCTACATCGGACGAGAACCTGAACCAGGAATGCTAGATTACGAAAACACAACCGCTAGACCCGTTTTCCTTGTCATTTGCGTCTGATTATAATCATCCGTAATCTCTTTTCCTTCCCCGATCGTCGAATCGAAGGCCCGTATATTTATCCCGTAATGGATTACAACACATTCGGCGCAGTTAGTTACGTTACATGTATATCGAGAAACGAAGCAAGCGTTCGAATTCAATTTTTCAAAGCGTCGCAGGCTTTTCTATCGTATTCGTCGATCTATCGATACATAGATCTCGAGCTGCTCGATTTGTGACTGTCACGATCGTTTCGTGTGTCAGCGATCACTTAGAGGTTTTTTTTTACGTGCCATACACAAGGGAACACACGTTTAATCGATGAGTGCGAATGGCGTAAAGAAGTAGAAGCATTTATTCTTCTTCTGCCATGTGTTCTTACTCGATCGATACGAGATGTGTGTGTGTGTGTGTGTGTATACCTGTCCAGCGTGTAACACAACGATCAGAGTGATTCTTTTTTCTCCATCCTATTGACGCATTTATCCGGAGACACACACATACAGTGACACCTTTTTCAGATTGAAAAAATGTGTTTTAAAAAAAAAGACTTTTCATACGATAATATATAACCGTAATATATAATTGTCATAGCGTGATTATTATATCGGAACGATTTATCACGTTACACCTGATTCTATGAATTTTTATAAATGATGAAGTAATGCGTTATAATAGTGTTTCTCAATCTTTTGTCACGTAAGTCACATATATTATTTGTTGTGTGAATCAAATTTAAAATATAGAGAATAGAATCTCGTTTATACGAACGAGAACTCATAGGTATTCTATTATCTAAACTACTTTACTCAAATAAAGTGAGGTTAAATATATAATCTTCTTAAATTTCTTGATTCAAAAAATAAATTTTTAAGTTTGTCATTTTTATAAAATAATTAATACTTAACTATTTATATTAATAATTTAAGGATTGAAATTATAGTATACTTTTCTTTTCATATTTTAATAAATCATATAAAAATCATACATTATAAGTCTAAGTCAGTCTTGTAAATGATCTAAATGATAAAAGCGAATTATATTTTAAATTAACAAAAATAATGTTTATTTAAAATCTTCAAGCTTATAAATATCTTTAAATGATAAAGGCATTGAAAAACCGTTTGTTTTATTTGAAATCTTTAAATGTTATGCCAAATTGAAAATAAGAAAAAACAATTATAGTTATATTAATTTAATCTCTATTATCTACCAATAATTAATAAGAAAAAGATGATAAAAATGCTAGATCTTTATTAAACAATAAATTAACGAAAAATTCTACTCTAAATTTTTTAAAAACCGAATTACTATTTATATATTATATAAATAAATAAAATTATGCATATTTGAGCAGCTTATTAAAAATATAATGTGATCTATAGATTGAGAAACATTGCATTATAGATTTTATCAGAAAGCTACTTAAATTAGAATGATAAGGGAATATTCGATGAAAGAATACATTAAACTTCCTCTTAACGATTTGCAAAGATTGACTTACGATAAGAGATACTGTGCAATTGTTTGCGATATCTTATATATGATATACATATTATATTGCAATAAAAGCCACTTCGAAAGACTCAAACATTTCTAAGAACATTTTTCCGATCTGAAAAGGAAATGGCGGTAACGTGATACGCTTAAGTTATTGAAACAAGTGAATTCTCATTTTTCGTGATCACCTAGGACATCTAGGCACCTAGCATGGCAATTAAACGAGATATAAAAAAAGTCGCATAATATCTGAAATCATCGTTTCGAATTATTAATTATTGTAATTATCAACCGAGAGTAGGTGTATTTTTGTTAAACCTATGAGAATAATGCTAATTTTCAAGGCTATAGTGTAAATAATTAACTATTATACTAAACGAAGCTTTGAATGTGCTATGGTAACGTTGATAAAAATATAACGTTGATCGATTAATAACTTTAAATTTAATAATAATATTAACTAATAAATTGATAGAGCTAATTATGCAATCACAATGAATTCAATTCTAGCTTTTTTAATGTGCGTAATAACAGACACGTCGATTAATATTATGAATAAATAAGTAATTAATCGAACAGAATGATAAATTTTGGTAGAAAAAAAAAATTAGAAGAAAAAAAAATTAAAAAATTGCGAGCGTTGATAAATTGCTAAAATTAATCGATATAGAATGAATTCTTTCTTTTCTGGTCGTTTAAAACTCAAATTAAACATACAAAGTAAAAACTTCATTATGATTTATAAAAATAAATCTCGGTTAATACCAAACATAAAATCAGCGATAATAATAATAAAAAACTAAAAAAAATAATAATAATAAAGGAACTTATAGATGAAAACAAAACATTGTAATTATATTGTCGTATAGAAAATACATTTAAAATTCAAACGCTATGGACGTAGTCGTATTTCATATTAAAGGTTTACTTAAACTCACCTACTCCCGGAAAATAAAAATATTAATATACTTTATACATAATATGAAATAATTAAAGTGAATAAAAGAAAAAATATGTGATGCACAGATTATTTGAAAACGTTATACATAGTTTCATTATTATCTAATTATTTTTTCGATATATTTCAATTAAAAATGATAAATTTATTTTTTTTAAAAAAATGATAAATTAATTTTTAAAAAATGATAAATTAATAAAAATTATACGTTATCATAAGATTACATATAAAAAGAGATTAAATACAAAAGAAAAAACAAAGTTGAAAAAATCACATTGTGCATCATTTATGAAAAAATATGTACGGAGTATATTATATCATTAAGTTTAGAAGATATATTAAAGTATTATATTAATTAATAGAATATCTGTATATTGAGTTTCCAATGTATTTCTTTTTTGTATTTTACAATGCATTTTTATCGTAAAAACAAAACTCCGTACATGATATATGCATATAGGGTGTATATAAAGTGTATTACAAGCTTTTTCTTTTGAGACTATTAAAAATAGCAAGAAAAAAATTGTTTCTAATTGTTATTTGAGATTATTTAATACTTATTATTGATCAAAGGAACTTACATTAATAGAATAATGTATAATTTTTATATTTTTAAATAAATTTTATTTAATGTGATATTTAATTGAAACATTATTCTATATTTCATTTGTAATTTATTTCATTCTTTCATGATTAAATCTTTTTTTAATAATTTATAATATTTTTTATAATATTTTTTAATAATTTATAAAATATTTTAATAAATTATTAAATGAATGAATTCTTCTTGCATTTAATAATTTGAAAGAAATTGTCTTGTAATAGTTTTTATGATACACTCTGTATAAAGTGTTTGAATAGTTTCTAATATTTTTCATTATTCATCGCTTGAACTAAATGAATTTGTTTTAACTCTTGAAATATCAAAAAAAAAAAAATTTATTATACTATGCTTTTCATTATTGACAAAATTTTTGATAAATTCAAATATTTTTTTTCTATTATAAACTTTCTATATACGAGAAGTATTATTTTTCTTTTCTATCTAATAAGATTATATATTTTTTATTTTAACTAAATAAATAAATATTTAATACATTAAATATTATTAGAATATATTTATATATTTATAACTAATTATATTCAGCATATTATAAAAAATACATTATTAGAATTCACTTCATTTCATCTTGATATTCAAGAGTTAAATCAAGTACAATTTCGACTTTTACCGAATAAAAGTTTTATTTAGTGGATATTAATCTACTAAAAAAAAAAAGTTCTAAGACATTCAAATCACATGTATATAAATCGTATGCTCGATTCTGAAATAAAGAAAAAATTCCGCAAGAAGCAAAAACTCGATTCATGCTTGAAAATTTATTTTAATTTTTTTCGCTTTAAAGAAATTTAAATGATGCATATTAAAAATAAAGTTTAGTCCTTTGCACTCAAAATATGTTTGTTACAAGAATGATGAAAGTTTTTGAAACTAATATAGAATTTAATTCTATATTATGAAATATCATCATTTCATTTTATTGAAATTTCGATACAAGTTTTATGAAGTTTTTTCATAAAGATGAGACAATTATTGCAATTCTATAAGCAATAAATATCAAAATATCGATAGTTTATCATAAAAATATTGCACATATACTTTTTATAAAATTTTATATACATCGAAATCACATTTATATATATTATAAATTTATTAAAATTATATTTTACTTTATACATATCCCTATATAGTATTGAATCTTTAAACTTGTTTTTTTAATATGAATATATAGCTTTTATGCAATAATCTATCAAATACTTTAGAACACGGAGAATTATAGATATCATCTAAAATTTTTGAAAATTGCAAACATAATAATTGCAATTTTGGAGGAAAAAATAGTTGTCTTGTCTAAAATCTTAAATAATAAAAAAAAAATATACTTATAATATTTATTAAGTTTATCTCTAAATCTTTGAATTCCTATACAAGTGATTATCTATTGAGTGCAAAGGATTCAAAGTATGTATTTTTAACAAATGTTTACAATATCGAGCGTCGATTTATTCGAAAAAGCGCGGGAAATAGCGAAGTTCCGATAGAACTTATCGCGCTAGGGGAATCCCATTAAAACGAACTCAAGAGAAATAAACAATAGTAGTATATTACGCGCAACCATTATTCAATGCATCAAGTGAATAGAATTAATTCACACGATTGTATCGAATAAGTTTCATATTGTATTTAAACGATAGGATAACGATCAATTCGTTACTGTAGATATATAAACTATCTCTACTTGTTGTATACGTCAGAATAAATACTTAGATCTTACAACTGTCAGTTTACAGTCAGTTGAAAAATAAAAATCGATAAAAGAAGTAAAATGTCGATGGGAAATATCGAAATATAGGGTAAATGATTTCAGAGAGATCTGTTCTCTCTTTCTCTTCTTCTCTATCAATTGTGTCACTCTTGAAGAATTCACGCAATCTATACTAAGAAAGTATATAAGAAGTATTATAGTTTATTGCTTCCATACTGATTATATTATATATATTTCGATTTGATTAATTACCCAATAATTCACAAAAAGATTAGGTACACAATATTAAATTGCGAATACATATTAATGTATAACGAATATTCGGTATACTGTCAGACATAACAAGAGAGCCATTAAGTATAATAATATTTTTGTTTTTAAATTTACATTCTGGGCATTTTTATTTAACCCCATCGTTTTTAATAGCATTATTCTAAATTGTACAATAAAATTTTTAATTATATAAAATCAGATAATTTTTCTACTTTATGAAATTATTAAATTATATCATTTGTAAATATTATAATATATCTTAATGATTTTCAATTTTCGGATTAAAAGAAGATTGCAAAATACTTTTTAAAAAATCATTATTATATTTTATGTTAATTTTTTAAATTTTCCTTATTTTATATATATATAAGAAAGAAAAAAAAGAAGAATAAACTCTTTGAATATTATAAAAGGCGGTCATCAAAAAAGATTGGGAAACATCTATTCTAAATAAATATGTTAACATAAAAAATAAAAATTAATTTTTAACATTAATATGAAAAAAACGAAAATAAAGAAAAGAGATATTTGTAAAATTAAATTTAAAAATTTATTTATTATTTCTATTTTAAAATATTTATTGCTTATATGTACATATTACAAATATAAATTCTTTATAAAAAAAAAAAAGTAAAAAATATTGTTAATAATAAGTTCGTTATATCGATTTCATATAAATTTTTCCCAATATAAATTCATAAAAAAATATAAAAATATAAATTTTTATATTATCATAATTTTTTTAATTGTTATATGAATAATTTCTTCAAAATATCATATTTTAATTGACATTTTAGTGCACAATTTTATCATCACAATTTCTTTTTTCTTTTCAATTAACTAGTAGTAATTTATAGCACATATAGTGTAATTTAAAAGCACACAATTTTAATGGCAAATACAATTACAAATGCTAATGCTAATAATATAGAAACGATTTTCTTTAACTTTCGTATTTCGAGTATTTAAATATTTAATATATTTCTTCAATGAATTTTCTTATATGGATTAATAAGCACAATATATATTTTACTTTTACACGTAATACTTGGTGGACACATCAGTATCGCTGCTAATCACCGCATTTGTAAATTAAGGTCAGTTTGCACATGAATTAACACTTCAACTGATGATTTATATGAAATTTAAGTATACAATTATAATATTATGTTTTCAAAATATTTTATTTATTAAAAATTAATTATTTTGTAATAAGATAATTTTCAAATATATGTAACATATATTTAATTATTATATATTTAATTTTAAAAAAAAATTATGTAAAAATTATAAATTTATTTTATTTCTTCTGAATTTGATATTAAAAATTATAATAAACATAGCAAATAAAATAATTGATAAATATAAAATTAAATTCACCATATATTTTTTGAATAAAAAGAATACTTGTAATTTATATTAATCTATATTTTTCAGGAAAATACAATTGAAGAGATTAATTCTTCTCTTGAACAGGCAAAAGATGATTTACCACAACCACCACCAAGTACACCAACAAAAATACAAAATCTACCATCACCGTCTTCTATGGTAACTCCTAAAGCCGTCAGAAGTAGTTTGGCTAAATCTCCTGAAATAGGATCAAAAAAAAATTCATTATCTCTTGAAATTAAAGAGAAAGAAGATGGAAACAAGAAAAATCTAAATTCAGAAGATAGAAATATAATGAAAAACAAAACAGCAAAATCTCCTATAATTTCACATTCTCTTAATAATTCTCAAGCAAAGAGTCCAGAAAATAGAACAATGAAATCACTTACTTCTTCACATATTCTTAATAGTTTTGAATTAAAAAAAAGTCCAGAAGATAATTCAACAAAAATACCTACTTCTTCACGTCCTTCTAGTAATTCTCGAATGAAAAATCCAGAAGAAAAAAAATCATCTACTTCCTCTCCTTCTAATAATTCTCCATTAAAAACTCCAGAAGATAAAACAATGAAATCACCTATTTCTCCACGTTCCGTTAATAATCTTGGAATAAAAAGTCCAGATAAATCTTCCTCTTACATGTCTGGAAAAATATCGCCAAAAGAGTTACGGCTTCCAAAATTGGCACCCTCTCCTACACCACAAGAAATTACTACAATTTCTGAAGTTAATGCAAAAATTAATTTACCAAAATTGATGGAACGTATTACGCATTAAATTATTTTTCATATATTTTAAAATAAACTTATTAATTATTAAGAAAAGAAATTTTCTTAAACTGTAAATGAATATTTGCAACATATATATATATATATATATATATATATATACACTAAATCTAGAAAAGCATTAAATATGAGTGAAATATTGAGCTAATATGTATATGCTTTTTTAAATTGCTTAAATTACTGATTTTATATTACATTGATAAATATAAAACTCTTTTAAGTAATTATAAAATAAATTTCGAAAGACAAATCGAAAAATAATGAAAGAGAAGATTTGAGATTTATATTTACAAATCTGTTACTTTTTAAAAAATTTTCATCTTATTCCTTTTATTACAAAGACATTGAAAATTTTTTATTTATAATTAATTTTATGGATTTTATATTATGAATTGTCAATATATATATATATATATATATAATGGAATAATCAAAATATAAAAATAAATTTGTTAATTTTATTATAATCTTTTATTAGAATGTATTAATATATCATTTTCATTATATATTATATATTATATTATTCTATTATTTTCGTAATAGAAATATAAAATGTTTCACTATTTTTTTTAATTTATTATTTTTCATAAAATATTTACTATATTTAATAATGTGTTTATATTCATATATATTATAAAATAATGATGAATGTAAATATTAAGACAATATTTACATATGTATAACTAAGATTGTAAAATAAAATTCCAAAATTATTTACAAAAATTCAAAAATTAATTACAAAAAATGAAAAAATTTTTAATTTAATTTTCAAACTTACAGTTACATATATTATTTGTATATATTATTTAAAATTAACATATATATTATTTAAAAATGATAGCAATTAAAAGTATGAGTTTTTAAAATAATATATGCATAATAAATAATATGTATAAGTAATTTTTAATGTACATAACAAAATATATTTTTGTTATATAAACGCATTCAATATCGGAAGTAAAAATATATTTTAGTATAGTTTTCCAAAAATATTTGTTTTTATCAATTATATTATTGGCAGTTTTACATTGTAAGAATTACAAATACATAAAAATTAATAATATATCTTAATCAAGTTTTCTTTGGCAGTGGGGGTGGAACTAATGTAACTCCATTAAAATAAGGATGGCTTAATCCTTTTTTTGCTGTTATCCTCTGATTAGGATCATAAGTCAAAAGTTTCTGTTAAAACATATAACATTAAATTTACCAATCCAAAAAATTGTTTTTTTTTTTTTATTGAAATGATTTTTACCAAAAGCAAATCTTTGGCATCAGAATCAAAAGAAGGTACAACTTCATCTAAAGGTCGTGGTTCCCATCTTGGAAACATTGATGTATAATCACGTAGTTGTGATACTCCTGGCCAAATATTCTCATCTGGTGTGCCTAATGTACGGAATATCCTGAAGAGTTGGTCTATTTCTGAATCACCTGGGAATAAAGCTCTCCTAGTTGCCTAAAAAAAAAAATGTAACTTTTTTGAAGAATTAAAATTATTAATAAATAAATAAGATTGAATATCCATATTTTATATAAAATTATCACATTAATTTTATTATTTAAATTATCATTACCATTTCTGCAAATATACAACCTAAACTCCAAACATCTACTGCATTGGAATATAACTTTGTTCCTAAAAGTATCTCTGGTGCTCGATACCAAAGAGTTACTATTTCATGAGTATATGTACGAACAGGAACACCAAATGTTCTGGCTAATCCAAAATCTGCTAATTTTATGTGACCCTCCTGATCTATTAACAGATTCTGTGGTTTTAAATCTCTATGTAAAATGCAATGAAGATGGCAGAAAGAAATTGCTTTCAATAACTGATACAAATAACTCTGTAAACATAAATATAAAAAACCTGTCTTGAACAATGCAACTTCATTGACTATTCTTTTAACAAAATATGATTCAAATTGATTAAAAAGTACTTTCCTATATTATATGCATGCACCTATTTTCAATTGTGATTTTTTAGGGCAATACCTTAACAAGAGCTTGATCTAATCCTCCTTTAACGGAATCTAACAATTTTTTTAAATCTTGTTGTAAGAATTCAAAAACAAGATATAGATGATTATCCCCATCTACTACATCAAATAACTGAACAATATTTGGATGTGTGAGTTCTCTTAATAATGATATTTCTCGAATAGCAGTGGATGGAACACCTTCACTTTCCCTGATGCAGATTAATTTATTAACATTAATTTA